AAATATATTGAACCCTACAACATTAAGTTCATAGTTTTTAAATTTGAGAGAAAAGATTCTAAGCTAATGTAGAGGACAGCAAATACCTGACTGTATTTGACCTAGTATATGAGATGTAAGCAGAAATTCCGGTTACCAGAGAAGGAAACATAGAGCTTGTGTAAGGAAAAGGCCAATTCCAAAGTCCCTTGAAACTAAAAAAATTATAGAAATTAGTATCACAGTAAGTAGTGCTGTTAATCGGACACTCAGTATCATTATGGTAACAGAAAAAACAGTTTTTCTAATGTGTAACTTCAGCAAAAGAGCACTTCCATTTCATAATTGTAAAAGTGGAGAGATTTAGCTGTTACATTTAGCATCCGTAGTTATGATAAGAAATGGTACTGTATTTATTGGTTTCCATCAAATACACTTAGTTAAAAAAAGTAATTGCTATGCCAGCAAATTCAGATTGGATGTTTTGCTTCTGGTGAATCATCACCAGCGCTAGGGACTGTCAGTTACGACAGTCATTATTTTACCATTCACATTTATCAGTCACACATGCATTACTTCCACTCGTTTGCAAAGGTAAATCTCACTAGAGCTGTTACGATCTTGGAAACAGAAGGAAAGGAAACTTTCCCTTTGTTAATCCAGTATAGAGAATGTTCAGATTCTTGCTTTCTAGGTTGGCCTGATGTGTGAGAACAGCTTCAGTATGGTGTAACATCTGACTGGCACAGAGTAGGGATGGTAGCTGCAAGCAAGTTGTGCTACGTTAGGATTTGCCCCAAACCTCTGGATAAGCCAGTCAGCCTGAGCATGCTGTGCCTCTCTCTCGGGTGGAGGAGGAGTGTGTGTGCATTGAATTCAGGCAGCAGATGAGGTGATGTTTGATAGAATGGTACCTTGAACTTAAATCCCAAATTACATCAGGAAATAGTGTCATTCAAAAGCCACTCCTGCTAATGGAGTTATACAGAAGTATGCCTTGTTTAGTTCTAGTTGGTCAACATTGTGTAACGTGAACTCAGTTTGTTCTAATTGGCTTGCTAAAGTGACCTCTACTGTTAAATCCTCTGTGTGCGTGCTGTAGAGGTTTTTGCGTATTACCTTTGAAATCATAAACTTTTTATTTAACACAAAAATTGGATGTAGAAAATCCACTTTTAAACTGGTAGTTGGATTTTGGAACATGCTGTCCCTGCACTAATAACATTAAATAATTTATGCGGAACCTCAGCCTTAATAACAAATTTAGCAGCCAAAGTCCAGATTTCCAAAGCATTTTTTGCTGGGTTTGCTGGGGCATCTCACCATGGAACTGTAATTCTGCAGTGTGTTTTCTCCTTGCTGCAGTATGCTCAGCAAGCAGTCCTGCCGAATTCTGCTCAATTCAGTCTTACTTGAACGATTCCAGATAATATAACCATCCTTGGATCTTTACTTAATTTTTAAAGGAATAACTCCTAGCAAAAGCTAAAAGTAACAACATTAAAACCACATTCTTTCACTCAGAAGGGATGGTTTTGAATATAGACATAAATTGTTCATTGAAAATTTCTTAATTGTACTTTCAGGGGAAAACAAACAAACAAACAAACCCCAAAAAACCCCAAACACAACTCTCAAATTGACTACTTAGTCCGTAGAGGCAGGTAACAACTACTTTGCATGCAGCATTACTAACTTTAACACTCCTGAAGATACTGGATGCATAGAGCTCCTCATATGACATTTGCATGTTGAAGCATTACCAGAGGAAGTCCAGAAGTTCAGACTTGTTGGTTGATTGCTTTTCCATTAAGGGAACATAATGTGAACCGAACGAGTATTCTACAATAGTCGTATGAGAATAAAGCAAACAAGTGAGATTTTCATCTGGGAAAAGTCATTAATGATGATTATTAAAAGTTTTGAGTAGCCTCACAGGAGGCTCTTCTAATATATTACTAACAGATCTGTTTTCTTCTGAGGGCTTTTCTGCTATTCATTTTCGGCAGGAGTAACGTCCAGTTATCTTTTGACTAAGACTTTGGTTTATTTGTTTTGTAAAATAATAAAAATTTTAAAAGCTTTAGTATTCAAAAGATATTTAAAGGAAAAGATTGCACTAGATTTCTAAACATCAAATGTAGTTTTTCTTTAAAATAAGAAAAATTTCAAGAACTATTAAGTGTTTTGAGATGGCAGACAAACACATGTTTTTAAATTCTTTCAAATGTTTTCTTTTATTCCCAAATATGTCTTCCTGGTCCGTCGTTCTGTCCTTGCAATCCCACTTCATTAAGTCACCATTTTCCCATATATCAAACACAGACTTACTTTTCAAAATGCAGTATAATGCCCCTCTATATTTAAATTACTCGGTTTCTCATCAACACCTGCCTTCACCAAGCCAGTGACTATTTTCAGAGCCTAACTCTCTGCTTCTCAGACAAGCCTTTTCATGTTTTGTCCCATTATGCCATTAACAAGAGAGAAAATATCCTTGCAGGCAAGGTTAGTGATGACTCCTCATTTTCCTTCAGCTGCTTTTGCGACCTGTACCTCTGCTCTGAGACACGCGATCTGCAGCGCAGTAGTAGCACGGGAGGAAAGGAACTGCTGTTGTCACTTCTGATGGGTGAAGAATTACAAAATCTGCTGAATTCTTGTAAAAGGGATCCAGCTTGGATAAGGCTTTCTTAAAGTGTGATTTAATTGTGAATAACAATAACAAATTCTAGGAATGTCCCGCATATAGGTATTCTACAAAATGTAGTTGTTAATATGAGATAGGAACTAATGTCTGATGCAGTGTTTGGTCCTACTCTTTGCTACCTGATGCTGCTGTGTAAAAAAACTGCTTCTGAAGTTGTTTCTTATTTATTTGAAAACTGGGAAGGGCATTGTTTGGACTTTCTTTTTCTACATTTTGAGTTAATTTATTACCCTGTGGAGGGGAAGGACGTCCTGAGCTTCACTCAGGACTCTTCCGTTGTACCTGTTGAGAGGGAATGAAGGTAATCCAAACTTTTTCTTGGCCTCTGAAGGCTGCTGATTCCCACCCCTTGTTCTATTAAATGAAGTCAGCTAAATTAAAAAATCTGCATGCTGTTATTCATGAATAATCTGCCGTGCATTGCTTTATGCAGTCAGTCATTTCTAAATGCTTAGTTATTGTTTAGATTTTTTGCTCATATAATCCTTTGCAGTCTGTTACCTTACAGACTTTCTGTTTCTGATTTTATATTATCTATGCTTTAAGCTTCATCTGGTTAATTTAAGTGAAGAAAAGTTAATTTCATCCATATGGTAATTTGTTGCTTTGGTGAAGTTTTTGAGAAACTTTATTATTATTAGGAATTAAATCTCCTTCTTTTCCTAGCTTTTAAAAAAAAACCAAACAAACAACAACAAAACAACCCCCTAACCTTAGATCTTCAACAGGTATTAACAGTGACAACTTAAAAGGTATCGTGATATTAGTACAGTGGCAGTATGATCAAGGTTAAGGGTTGATAATTCACTCTTTATACCTGCACAGCCTCTCTGTCGAGATTCAAAATTAGTGTCTCCATCTGGTATATACCATGATGTTGAAGCCAGACAGTATGTCATACTGTCCACTGTATGAAATAAGAATGTCATCCTTAGAGTGAAGGCATTTCCCTGTTTAACCTGATTGTAGTGGAGTTTGCAACAGAGGCAAAATGTTCTTAATTCCTCTGACCTTTCTGTTTTCTCCTGTTTGTATTTCTAAGTGCTTGCAAGCTGTGTTTTTGTTTTCCCTTGAATATATTGTATGTTGATTGTAGTGGATCCTACTAGCACTCCTGGATAACTTTTTAATAGGTCTGTTTTCTTTTAGAACCTTTACAAATGCACAGACTGTCTGCAGAGATTTGCTGCCTCATTTGGAGGAGATCCAAGATGAAGGCATGGAGCCAACAGGTAAGCATGTAAAAGATGATCCTTGGAAATTTGAGCTCTTATTACAATTTTTTAATGTAATTTTTGTGTCTATTCTAGCAAGTTATGACTGACAGTTTTTCAGGGCTGGGATAATGAGAGGCAGCCAAAAATAAAATTAAACTGAAGTGATTCAGGGCAACTGAAAAATTTTCAGGAGCTTTCTGTAAACTTGCATGAATTCAATAGTTTCTCCCAGTTTTTGTCTGTATTTGAGATGATTACTGTATAAAAGTGAAAAATAGCCTGATCCCATGGAAAATCATACCAATTCTTGTGTTACCTTTGGCATCACAGCCTGCTTACCAGCTGTCAGCTATTGAGGATTTGGCATACTGTGTAATAACTGGAGGCTGTAAAGGAATATCCATACTGGTCAGTTCTGTGTTGCATTGTAGCATGTGCATACTACTGTAATTTTAAACCAATTGCAGTGGTAAATTAACCTAGTTGTGCTACCATGTGGCTTAAAGGGGGTCTACTAGCAGAACTTTCTGAGGTTCTTTGGAAGGTTTGCAGTCCTGAGGGAGCTCCCTGTTGCCTTGGTGAAGCTTCAACTGGTTTCTAAATTTGCTCATTTAAACAGGGAATATTTGTTTTATGAGATAATTGAAGCAATGACTGCAAGTGGATTTTGAAGAAACAACAGATCTATGTAGGCATCTCACATGCAGACTTTATACATAAGTATATACCTGTATGCATATATATTTATTTTTAAAAAGGTAATTCTTTGATACGCAATAGGTTTCTTTCCAAGAATTGAACGACTAGGCATTTGCTTTTTGTTTTTCAGTAAGCAGGAAATAAATTTGGATGGATAAAGGTGATAACTAACTTCTGTTTTCAAATTCAGGGTATTTTATTGAACTATTTGAGAGACACATTGTATACGTAGATTATTACTGAGGCTCTAATTCTGTGGAGTACTTGTTGTGTGCTCGTGAAGGCTTTGACCTGTTTTTCTAAGAATTTATCTGGGATGCTGGTTACTGCTGTCGGCTATCTACACTGCTTCTCTCCCAGAGGTTGCTTCTGGCTGCAGTTTAGAGTAATATGCTGGGCTGTAAACCACAGTGCTCAGGAAGGAATGTACATGCCATTCAGCCACTCCTGCAGAGGTGACCACAGCCTCTGGAAGAAAGGTGAGGTGAGCAGCTGAGGGTAGAAGCTGTTCCAGCTGTTCCATCGTAATTTTCCTGCAAACACAAGTCACACCCTATCCATTTTAATTAAGCAGTTCCTTTATTTGAGTTTAGGTATGTTTCTAAGTTGATGAATCAGGAGCTTACAATTTAAGTTAGCCTTCGTCTTTTATTTGACTTTGGGAATCTGTGGCACTACTTGTTACCCATTTAAATGAGAAGCAGTGTTTGACTTGGAAACATTACACAGCTATGCAGATGCTGAGTGGTAAAGTGAGGACTGAATGTCAAAAACTTCTCCCAAAAATCTTTCAGGAGAAGGAAGCTCAGTGTCTGGTTGCAGTGGGTCTGTTTTGTGTACCAAGAGAAAAGAAGGAGATTCGGATGTTTTCTAGTTGTGCAGAACTGTCTTTCTCATTTTATAATTGATGTGTTCTGCAACTTCAGGAGTCAATTTGCCTAATGAGGACCCCGGGTTGTTCTGGAATTTTTTCCCTATTCTTTTCCACCAACGTATAGAAGCTGTGGAACCAGGCCAGATTTTGGATTTCTAATACATATGTAAATCCAGAGTAACCTTACTGTTTGCAGCAAGCGTTATATTGGCTTAAAACCAGTGTAAAGTTAAGAGAGGACTCATTCACACTGGTTTTATACTGATGGAATTGCAAAATAATTTATGTTGGAAAAGACCACTGGAGGATAACTAGTCCAGCTTTCTGCTCATGGCTTTGTTCAGCTGAGTTTTGAAATTATTTTTCTTTATCTAGCAAGGATTTTCCTTGCTGCAGCTCATGTCCATTGCCTCTTGTTCTTCTGCTGTGTGCCTCTGAGAAGAATCTGTCTTCTTTATAGCACTCCCCTTCAGTCTGTGACAGACTGCAGTTAGATTCATTCTTTGTCTTCTCCAGATTGAAGAAACGCAGCTCCTTTAAGGGCTTCTCATACATGGTGTGCTCCAGGCCCCTGACCATCTGGGAGTCCCTCTTCTGGGCTTGCTTCAATTTGTCAGGATCTCTCTCTTGCACTGGGGCTTCCAAAGCTGCACGCTGCTTCAGGTGCACCCTCATGAGTACTGAGTAGGGGGAAATAATCACTTTCCTTGATCTGCTGGCTATAGGCTTGCTAGTGCAGCTCAGCATGTAGTTAGCCTTTATCTCCACTGGGACGTACTACTGACTCGCATTCAACTTGTCCACCAGGAACTGCAGGGTTTTTTCTGCTGAGCCAGCTGGCATCCAGTCTGTGCTGTTGCATGGGATTATCCTACCCCAAGTGCAAGACTTACGTTCACCCTTGTTGAGGTTTGAGGTTTATGTCAGCCCATTCCTCCGGTTTGCTGAGGTCCATCTGAATGGCAGCCCTGCCTTTTGGCGTGTTGGCCAGTTCCCCAAGTTTGGTGTCATCTTTGAAGCTGGTGAGGGTGCATTCTATTGTCCAAGACAATAATGCAGTCATTAAACAGTATCATTCTCGGGACTAACCCATGAAGAATGTCACTTGTTATTGACTGCTAGCTAGACTTATAAATGTTGTCCACTGTTCTCAAAGACTAATTATCCTGCCAATTTTTTATCCACCTGTTACTCCAACTCCATCTGGTCCAAACCTTCCAAGGATGCTGGGGGAGACCTTGTTAAAGGCCTTGTTAAAGGTAAAGTAAACAACATGCCACTGCTCTCCCCATCTCAGAGCCAGTCATCTCATTATGGAAGACAGCTGGGTTGGATTTTCCAAGGCCAAATCAATTCTATCTATTCTGGACGGTCTCAGTCACCATTTTATAGCTCAAAACAATTTCTAGGAGTTTGTTCTATAGCTTTTCCATGGACTGAGGTAAGTCTGATTGGCCTTTAGTTATTTGAATCCTCTTTCTTCCCCTTTTTGAAGACAGGTGTGACATTTGCCTTTTTCCTGTCATGGGGACCTTACCAGATTGCCATGCTTTTTCAAAGATGAAGGAGAGCAGCCTTGCAATGACTTTGGCCTGGTCTCTCAGCGTACACTGTGAAGCATCGACATTTTTGTATGTGCCCAGGTTGCATAAGTGGTCCCTACTTTGATCTTCCGCTCCTGTTGTACGTAAAACTTCTCACCTGCCGCTAGGCACAGAAACCCAGGAAGCCTGGTCTTGCCAGTAAAGACCAATGTGAAGAAGGCACTGAGTACATCAGCCCTTGTCATGTCCTATGTTAGTAGGATGATGATATCCTTGGTTCTCCTTTTGGCTGCCAGTGTACCTGCAGAAGCCCTTCTTGTGGCTGTTCACATCACTTGCCAATTTCAATTCCAACTGAGTTTTGACTTTCCATTCCTGCATGCCTGGGCAATGTTTCTGTAGTGATGTTTTTCCTGATTACACCCTCCACACACTTCCTTTTTGGTGCATCGTAATCAGTTTTAGAAGCGTCACTATTGTTATGAAGCTTATTTTGTACTTGTCCAGATGCACCACTCCCTCCACATCAGTTTGTAGAGGCATTCTTTGGAGGATATCTTTTCTCTGATCCACATTGGTAGTAGTTTACTGATGTGAAGAGCAGTATATTTTATTGCAGTTCATAAATGTTCCCTTTTCCTCCAATGGAAAAGGTACATGGTTCCATGAACTGAAATACTTGTGTGAGTTTTGGCTAATTTAAAAAGATTTCCACTATTTATCCAGTCTTTTCTGTTTGAGAGTTTAAAGTTACATGATTATTGTGGAAAATCTATAATATAGTAGGAAATCCTTCTCCTCCCCCAGCTGTGGCTAGGCAAGCAACAGGAAGCTGGTTTCTGTATTTTTTAAGAGAATCCCTATGAATATATTCTGGCTGATACATTCAGGTTCACTTGAAATTCAGAAGTTCTGTACTTCTGTTTAATCTGTTCATTGACACAAGGGGAAGTTTGACACAGATGCCAAGCTCTCAGGCTCCAACGTATGTGTACTCGGCTCCAGCTTTTATTAAAAAGAAGTTAAGTTTTCAGAGCCACAGACGTCTTGAAGAAAACTAAAAAATAATGAGTGAGAGGAGGAATGATGTATTTGTGCTGTCAGCAGAATGTGATGGCATCATAGCTGTGGAATCTGGGATGATGACTGTCTGTCAGAAATGCCTCCAGCAAAGAGCTGAATACCTTCTTCCGTCATTAGAGCAGAGTGATGTTTTGCAGGAACTGGCGTATAATTGAGATACTGTTTTGTGAGTTAAATCTGAATCAGTTTCAAGCAGAAGTTGAATTAGTGTCTTAGTTCCTGCTTCTCAGGGCACATCTATGGAATATCACTTGGACTTACTCTGGTCATGCAGCAGGGCCATTCCACAATCAGCCTGTCTGTTTGTTTACCTGTCTGAAAGGTGACCTTGGTTCTTTTACATTTTGTATGGCTCTGAGTTGTTATTCCATAAACATCAGAATTAATTTACATTCCCAAAACCATTCTGGCACTCACCAGGATACTTGCAGGTCAGGTAGTGAACAGAGAGAAGGTTTCATTCATGTATTTGCTTTAAACTGTAGGATTATTGTTTTCTTTGTTTGTTTGTTTGGTACACAGTCTCCTTCATATATCCCAGAGATCCAGCAGTTTCAGCCAGACTGATTATTCATGCAAAAAAAAATATATGGACTTGCTATTTGTTTGTCTGTTTAAAATAATTTTTGGTACCTGGGCTGGGAGAGACAGCCTGGACCATGTCACAATTGTTCAGTCATACATGGTGGAAAGGACTAACAATTGGATGATAAAAATACAAATATTGTGATGTGTTTATGTTGTGTATTATTTCAGACTTGGTAGAAAATACTTGAATAACAAATTTACTTTTATAAATCAGTATTCACATGTAAATGGTACACAAGTCTAGGAATGTATTGTAAAAGATCAGTTGAAAACTTTCAAAGTGTTTTTTAAGTGGTAAAGAAAGTTTTTGAGTATTTTTTTTTCTTCTGTAAGGTTTCTTCTTGAAAACTTAGACTTTAGTGGGAAAACTGCACACCTAAAATCCAAAATATTTATATTAGCTGTCCTTAGAGCAATTCCTAAGACAAACTGCAGTATAGTCATCCTGTTATACGCTGTATGTATAAGACTACTCTGAGCCATCTCTTCCTTCAGCATTAAAGACAGTGAATCTTTGGAGGAGAATGACATGGGGAAAAAAACACTTGAAGAGGCTCAAGGAGTGGCAGTCAAGACTACTTATCTGAATAAAACCTCTGCTGTTCTTTGTTTTATCTGACAAAATAGTCATCTTTAGGAGCAAATCTTTTCTCACCAGCTCTGACCTTCAGTGAATTCATATGGAGGACATGAGCCAACATCACGCAGTAGTGAATGAAAAAGCATTTTGGATACAAAGTATAATGCAGGTAGCAGGAGCTACTGGAAGAAAGAGGAAAGGAACAAATATTCCTCTTTGCATATAGGGAACTTTCAGTGGCCTTGCGTACTTTGAGCTGGAATGCTGTTTCATTTTTTCTTATGCTCTCTGTAAACCTATGGGTGTATAATGTGCCAACACTAACAGGGTATTTAAAGGATCTTTGTTCTGATTTCTACTTTGGTTTCAGGAGGCACTGAGTTAATTTCCAGCCTGGACATTGCAGTTTAACTTTCAGATGCTAGCGAGGCAGAGCACCTATTTTGCTTTTCCCAAAGTTTATAATCAATTCACTCAGTATTTAGCCAGGCGTTCCTCCCCAGGCTCTTTCTGAGAAGAACGAGCCCTGTGCTCAAAATCCCTCTACAAACTGACAGCAGAATATATTGTTCACGTTCTGCTGTTTTTACAAATTCTATGAGACAGAATAGTTTGATCTTTAGAATTATTTGGCTTATCTAAATTTAGGCACTGGTTTTAGATTTAAGTTCTACCTGCAAATACATGCAAGAACAGACACTGAATGGGTGTTCAAGTTTATATTCCTTTGCTATATATATTGTGTATTATTAAGGTGATTCACTGAGTCTCTGTGAGACTGATTCTGTTCTTCGTCTTTGGTATGAATAAAAGATGCCTTTTTGACACCAGAAAAAAATGCACAAGGAAAAGCAAAAGGAGACCCAGTTTCAAAGTACATTTTTGGTTTCTGTGTATAGATATTGCAATGATTTGATTGACTTTCACTCTTCTCTGTGGAAACTATTCTGTTATCTACATCTGCAGTGAAAAGGTAGTAATTATGCAAGTTTTGTAATGTTATTGTAGGAATGTTGCTAGTATTTTTAGTTCCCTTGAAGAGAGATACGCTCTGTTCAAGAGTGTTTTTTATAATACACAGACTAGAATGTTGTATTTCAGCTCTGTATGGTACGATTTTGTTTTTAACTGAGCAGTCACCCTCCTGTACCCAACCACACCTGAAATCCCTTCTATCTTTGTTGGTTTAGAAGCCAGAACATCATACGGAGTTTTTCGTCTGGGCTTTAGTGTGTCACTGAAGAAAATAACCATTTGGATTAACGCTAGCTTTTGTCTTTGACAGGTCTTATCTGTCATCCTTTTCACACCAGGATTGAGGTTAAGTGCAGAAACACCTGCTTTGCCTTCTCTACTCATAAAATATTTGTTGGGTGCCACTGTTTACACTTTGATAAAGTCTGTCTGTCTATTACCTAGAATCCGTCATAGCTACTTATTTTCTAAACTGTCTGGATTTATGATGCCCTTCTTCCACTGACCTAAGCAAAGCTCCACACCTATGTTTTGAAAATCATTATATGCGATTTACACCTGAGAAAATTAAGGTACATGGAGATTAAGCAGCTTTATTTGTATTTATTGCTGTCATTATTACTTTCTGTTTGTCAAGAGAACAAATGCAAGACTGTGAGTCAGGAACATGAGTGGAACATAATGTGAGTCAGGAAAATTAATCCTGGATTGAAACACATCACACCTTTGACTGCTCAGTTCACTTTCTGCACCAGGGTTTTTGTCTCTTTACCCGGGACAGGGTAGAAAGGTGATTTCCTCCCCCACCTTCAGAAACAGTTTCATGGAATACTGGCACAGAAAACTAGACTGGTTTTGCTATTTTTCAGTTTAGTACTTGTACTTTATCAGCTGATTATGAATGAGCTTTTCTACACAGCTAAGTAAAGAAACTGCTTTTGCTGCAAGAGAAAGTTGGTTTTGTGTTTTGGTTGTGTGTTTGGTTTTTTTGTTGTGTTTTTTGTGTTGGTTTTTTTTGTGTTTTTGTTTTTTTTTTAATATATGTTGGTGAGCTTACAATAGCTTGCTGTGCCTCTGGTTGTCTGTGCAGATTGCAAGCCTGACTTGAGGGAGGCTGCAAGTGTGTTATAAAGCGCTCATGTGGATCCAGCTATGGTTGATGTGTTTGTGTATTGCCAGAAATGGTCAGAAGCATTTTAGTTTCCAGGCCCTCTGTGAAGCAACTAGGGGAATAGCATTTAAGAGGGATGTAAAGAATGTTGTACTTTTGAACACTCCAGAACTGCTTTTTTTCGGTAACTGAGGTACCAGGAAACAGTATAGATACTAGCTGTGCTTTCTTTAGAGTTTTTGCTTTCCGTAAGTGTAATAAAAGACAATCATGCTTATTAACTTGTATCAAAAACTTCAAAAAGTTGTATTTTCTGTTACTTTTAATTGTGACAAACCTGAGCTGTTTGGTCTGAAATTTTCCGCCAGGTCTCTGTAGAATATATATATATTTTTTATGTTTATGCTAAAAATACTTCTTCATTTATGAAAGTAAATCTAAGGAAGAAATGTTGGTCTTAAAATGTTGTACTATTTTGTTCAGAAGTATGGGAACTAACTATTTGATAGGGGAGTCATAAGTGGTTTTTTGTCTTCCTTGTGAGAATTCATCTAAATTTTGCCAACTTAGTAACCCCTGGATTCTTTAAGGAGTGTATTTATACTCATCCTGTGTCTTGTTGAGTTTGCAAAAGCCAAGTAGAATATTTGAGACAGTCATTTCTTGTGAATGCCAGGGACTGCCCCAGTCCTTGGCACCAGTGGTGAGAGCCAAGTGACATTAGTTGGTGCTGTGTCTGTGTCCTGTCAAGGAAGGGGAGGAAAAATACAGGGGGAAAAAAAGTGGACGGTAGAAAGACAGGGTGAGGAAGGCAAGAACAGAAGAAGGTGAAAGATGACGTGGAAATAGGGCAAGACAGGAGTGAGTGGAGTGGCTTTACGTACTAGAACACAGGGCAGATGACCAAGGAAAAAAACTGCGGGGAGCAGTGGGGAACAGGAGCAGGATGAAGGAGAACAGCTGGAGGAGAAGGAGGGAGGGAGGAAGGAGCTATGACGAGCAAAAGGAGCTTGCAGGCTGAACAGGGACAGAGGTTTCAGATCTTTCAGATCTTTCAGATCTCTGCAGCCTTCTGATTAACCAGCTACTCCATTAGCTCAAGCCGTAGTGGGTTGTGCAGGGCTGAGCATGGGCAAACATTCTTCTGGAATTGGTGGTGTGCCTGTAACACACAGAAGATCAGCTTAATTCTGCATGGTGGCACTTCCATTCAAGACGCAGAAAAAAGTGTAAGAAATAAAGATTTCTTTCTCTTTCTACATGGCATATTTGATAGTTAGAACATTGGAAAGCCCTTCTCTCAAAAGGTGGGAAATGCCAGAGTTGCGCTTAGTCCTGCAGTCTTTATTCAGTCCTCTTGTCTTTTGGTACACAGTCACACAGCATTTTTCAATTACAGAATCCCTTGATGATAATGCTTTACTTTCCAGAGTCTCTGTGGACTTCCTTTGCTGATGGCAGAGTCAGACTGAGAATAGATAACTCGTGTCCACAGACTCCCATAACAGTTCATCAGATGTTCAAGGAGAGCCTAGAAAAATATGGATCCCTTAATGCTTTGGCCAGCAAAAAGAATGGAAAGTGGGAGAAGATAACTTTTTCAGAGTATTATTACCTATCGAGGAAAGCAGCTAAGAGCTTCTTGAAGGTAGGTACAGGAAACAAAACCAATTCCTTTTTCTCCCTTTGTCTCCTTAAAAAAAACCAAAACAAACAAACAAAAACCCCAAACAACAAAAAAAAACCCAAAAAGGGTATAAGAGGCTTTTCCCATTAATTAAAGATCAACAGTCATATTCTTTATTGAAATAATAATGATGAAAATTGGTTTTGGTCAAAGGGAGAACACTGCTGTCAAGGGAACTTGACTGCAAGTGAAGAGCTGCTGTGTTACGCTGTCTCACTGGGGCATGGGTACAAAGCTCAGCATAAGGCCTTAAGATTAAAAAAAAAAAAAAAAATAGGTGAAAGCAGCACTGTCATGAATTTGGTGAGATAAAGACAAATTTTAAAACATCCTAAACATAGGGTAAGATTAGTACTCATTATGTCTTGTTCATATTGAAAAGTTCCGGTTTTCTGGCCCTTCTGGACAGCAGAGCTCAACCAGACAGGAGAAGGTAGTGGAAAGTTTAGATCATGTTAATTGCTGATAAATACTGGTTTTGCTATGGATGTCAACACAGAGATGTGCTGGACATGTCTTGTCAATATCAAAATAACAAATACTTCCCATGGTTTATATTTGTATGTATGTTTCATGCTCTATGCTTCTCAACAGTGTGCCTATATTATATAACCTTATGCTTATTATTTTTAAGCTTGGTCTTGAACGTTTCCACAGCGTAGCAATCCTTGGATTTAATTCTCCAGAATGGTTCATCTCAGCTGTTGGAGCTGTTTTTGCTGGGTAGGATTTTTTTGGTTTGGTTTTTCGGGGGATTTGGGGATTTCTGCTTTGCTCAGTCTGGAAATGTAGCAAATCAGTATTTGTGTCATATCTTGGAAGTTGTGCTGCACCTGGTAAGCATGTTCAGTGACCTACTGGAGTCTCATAGCTTTCAGTATATCTGAAATAGTCCAGACAGTCATAAATTGATCCTGTTTGCTATGGGCTTAACTGTGACAGTCACGCAGAAGCTATTGTAAAATATCTTATTACTGGAAGATGTGGGAAACAGATGAGACTCCTGGTTTTATATTAATGATATTTGTCTACAGCAAGATACGTTCAAGTAGATGAAGTGACAGATAAACACTAACTAGCCTAATTCCTTCTGTCCTGATACCTGTTTATACAATTTGGATTTTACCTCTTAAGCTGTTTCTGTGCCAGTGAAATTCAAATTGGTATCTGTGTGCAGCTTGAACAGAATGAGGACATAAGTGTGTTTTTTACCACTTCCTGAGCTAACTGTCATGTAGCCTCAAGTGGGTTAAAATGCTGAATCTTAGCCTATGGCATCTTCTACTGAATACAGAGATTAGTTTTTGCAATGCGCGTATATCGGAGATATTCGTGTATATCTGAATACTTGTAACAAACATGGCAGCTGTGCTGCTGTTTACTTCCACATCTTCAGACTCTTTCAGCTTTCATTTGATCTTTGATTATTACTCTCTTTTTTGATACTAAGTGCATGTATATGTGCATGTATGTATATAAATACATGTTCTTATATATATATATACATTTTTGATACAGAGGAATTGTCACAGGAATATATACAACCAATTCTCCAGAGGCCTGCCACTACATTGCTCATGACAGCAAAACCAATATCATGGTTGTGGAGAATCAGAAACAATTGGACAAGATAATGCAGGTACAAGGTGGCTGAATGGTTACTTAAAAGCCATAATTTTCCCATTTCCCGGTGCTGCATTGGTCCCAAATACCATATTCACTATCTGTATCATGAAACCTTTCATGGGAGTGTTCTTACTCGGAAACGTGGTATCTGGTGTTTCAGCTATTGCGTAACTTGCAGCTCTGTTCTGTGTAGTGTCTGTGGCTCACGTCTAAGCAGTGCTGATTCTTTCCAGCAGAGCGCTCACTGGCTGGTTCACTGCAAACTTACCTACAAAAAAACCCATGTTTTGATCCCGTGTTTATAATGTCACCACTTGATTCTGTTTGGAAAAGCACAGACCACTTGAATGGAAGAGATTAGGATGATGCAAGTTTGTAAAGGCCTTCCATTTGAATATTAAGGATGTTAGTGTTTAGAATTTCCTCTTTCCAAAATGTCATCTTTTCCTGCTTGTAATATTAACCATTAAGGCTGTTGAGTTTACTGCACTTTGATAGCATGATGGTTGATAAGAGATAGCCTTTAGTGAGAGAGGAGGTGGCTCTTCAAGTGAACAGTCACAATTTTGACAAAACTCTTTGGCAGCTTTGAGTGGGTTTCTGCAAGGGTGCCAGATTGAAAGACCAACTTGACAGAAAGATCCCTGTTGCGTGACTTGGGGGAGGAGCACAGGGCAGCTCCCTGGGAAGGGCTTGTCTGTCAGTAAGATGTTGAGGGAGGCCTGTGGCTGGAAGTAAGTCATCCATCTTGCACCAAATAGCATTGTTTGCTGAAGCAGGGGGACCCTCCGTGATGGAGTTTTCTGCCAAAAACATGTACCTGCCAGAGAGAAAATATCCATGGATTTTTTTTCCAGTGTATTTCATAACAGTTATACATTAATTGCTTTGTATTTTGTAGTTTTGTTTTATATTTGATTTGGAGGAAGAGAGATTTTTATAAGTATTCTGGAAAAACATACAATCAAGACAAGCCTTCTTGCAGTGTCATTGACTAAATACCAGACTATGCTGTCATGAACGTGGAGAGGAGAATAAAAATTGAAGAACTCAAGGGATTTGATTCCTACACATTTCTATCTAGAAAAAGAAAAAACAGCTCTGGCCAACACTGCTTTATCCAGCTGAGGGTTTTTTGAAACTTTTTTTTTTCTGGAAGAACCCAAGACTGAAATAATAACATAACATTTCAACTGTTATCCTTCTAATAATATATACATAATGGCTGCCGTCAAGCCACTGCTTTTGTATTAGCACAGACTGAGCAAGTCAGTTCAGAATGTGATTAATTCAAAGGCATCTGAGGCACTGGGTCCCACGAGGTTCAGAGAAATGAACGCTCTCTGCAGGCCATGCAAAGCAGAGAAAGAGCTACTGAAAGCAGCAGCCATTGCTGTCTGCCTGTAAGCCTGCAGCTTTATATTTTTATTTATCCTTAAAATGTGCATGTAGCTTCCTTTCCTTTTTTAAGAAGGTGGAATGGTTTTTTTTAGCAGTTTAACAACAGTTTTTGCTGAGGGGCTTCCTCTATCTTTACTGGTAACCAGAGCAGCTAGGGTCAATTTCTAGCTTGACCTAGACTGTTCCTTGATGTGCCCTTTGCATTATGAGAAAGGATGCTGAGGAGCCATTTCTGATGGTTTGGTTTGTTTTGTTTTGTTTTTGTTTTTTTTTAAATCTTTTGACTGAAAAAAGGTTTTCTAGAGCAGACTGTGTAGCATCTCCTTTTTTCCTCCCCCCCCCCCGCTTCTTGTTGAGCTAGTTGGTTGTGAGTTTAGGGGAGACTATTTGAGGACAGAGGGAAACAGGAGGTTTCTTGTGACTGTCAAGCTATTACAGTTTTGGCAGTATTTTAGTGGAAAAAAACCCACACAAGATATGAATAATAAATAATAAATTTGTTTTAAAAAATCCAACAGATCTGGAATCGCTTGCCACACTTGAAAGCTGTTGTGCTATATAAGGACTCCATTCCAGAGAGACAGTCAAATTTGTATACGGTATGTGAATGCTAGAACAGAGTTATAATTCATGGGGTATTATTTATTTGATTAATTTCTACTATGTTTAATCTGTGGAATGTCCACCATTTAGAATGCATTGCTGTGTTCCAGCAAACACATTCAAAAGCTTCATCAGCTTTTAATTTACCTGTAACTTCATGTTTGATACTTGATATTTAAAATTAGAGCTACCTTGCTTAACTGTCTGTCTTGTGTCTTCCTGGCTTTTTACTTGACTGGATTAACAAAAGGTTAATAGGTTTCAGATGAAAATGTGTACTCTCAAACTGTTAAAAATAAAAGTTGCCCACTGGTGCTAGTGGAAACTGAATTGTGGTTAGTTACACTGAATCCAAGAACATGAAAATGCTTGTACTTTTACAGATGATAGTTGCATTTTGTTTGCACCAAATGTTTCTGGTGGTAGGCAACAAGTGAAGAGAAGTAACTATGGACTACACAGAGGAGCACATTTTCTTAGTATATGTAGAATCTTCATATCACATGGTAAAAATAAAGCAGAAAAAAGGACAAAGCCAGGATCAGAAATTTCTGAGTGGTAGAAGTCCAGCCTTTAATTTAAGAAATATGAGGACTTTAAGCAGAACAGATTTTTTTAAACGTGTTATTCCAATATATTTTGAAAATATAATTGAGAATAGTTAAGTAGCGATAGAAAAATTGGCATTTTAAGTGGACTACAGATTATCAGATTCTGGGTTGAAAATCTTCAACTGGGGAAAAAAGATATTAATGAAGAGTGAACAGTGTAGAAATATTATAAAATATTTGCAATTTCGCTAATCTGAAAGGGTTACTAGGTACACAAACGAAACTCTTCTGCACTTGTTTTAATCATATCTTCTTTTGCTATGTTGAATAGCATATAACTGTTAATAATAAACAGTTACTGTTACAATACTGTACATACTGGTATAGAGTATGCCTTGCATCTCAATACAATAAAAAAAATTAGTTCAGAGATGATCTTACTATTTGTATTCCTTAGTAAAAGGAGTAAGTGCTAGCAATTAATTCTGGAACAACATTCAGTTGCTGAAACCTAAATGCCTGAGAATTGATATATTTGAAAACACCCCTGTTCAGGTGTCATATTGGACACCTTTTCTCAATGGAGAAAGGTAGCTGTGAGAGTGTCTGACAGTTGCCATAGTTAGTCATCTAAAGGAAAAATCAGACATCAAATCACCAAAGGCAGAAATGATTGTTTATTAGACTTGATGTAAAGCAAACCACCCGAACCATGTGGCATTTGATAAAAGGGATTTGTGTTGCAAGTTGACAGGTAATGTGTAATGAGCAATTGCTGCAGTAAGGGCAGAGCCCTAGTTCACTGATCAGTGCATGTTTCCAGAAGGCAAATGCAAAGTCAGTAGTGTGTGTGACTGTTTGTTTGTACCTTTCACACTGTGTGGAATGGGAACACTGTCTGTTGCAGGTACTGTTCAGTAAACAAAGCCTAGGCAACAGATTCACAGTGATTAACGCATTCTAGTATGAGAAGACAGTAAGGTCAGGAAAACAGGAACGACTGCTAAGTCACATAGAAACAATTACATCCTTGACACCTCCAGACTTTCCAGGAGCTAGGGAGATCGACGCAGCCACATTCTGTGGAAAGGGATAGGATGTGACAAATATTCTACTTGCTACAGAGCTGTGCATTGTACTGCCTCTCTTTTTCAGAGTTGTGGTTTGTTTGAAGAAAGTATAAAACCGATGATTGGTAATTAGAAGAATCCTTAGGACAGCCTTGCCACTCAAGAAAAGGAAGTCTAGGTGCCAGAGGTTAACTATTGTAACCTTAGTAGCACACTGGCAATGGCAGAGGTCTGAAGGAAACAATGAACTCCCTCTCAAGCGCAGACTCTCATTTTTTACCTCTGCTGTCCTTCGCATCATCCCCTTTACTGCTATGTGGTACTAGATATGTTTCCAGGAAATCATTGAAGAATGGAGGTGCTGCATCTTCCATTTGAATAACATAGTTCTGTAGCACAGTACGAATCATCTGATTCCAATGGGAAACTGACAGTTTGGTTATTGACTTTCTTAAAAAATTTTGTTATATCCTAGTTTTCAACTAGCATTGAAATCAATGGTACACTTAGCAGCATATCAGGTGCATGCAATAGAAGTATCTGGGAGCAGCCAATATAACATAGAGGATCAGGTTCAGCATTCTTCTGGGCCAATTTGTGCGGCACAAAAGTGCAGCATCATAAAAGGGTTAGCTCATTCTAGGTTGAGTCAAATTTGAATGGAAGTTGTGACTGGAATCATATGCTCTATTTGCTATAAAATAGCAGATAATTTGGGCAAACTTTCACACATCTAGATGATGATGCTTTTGCAAGGAAGCTTTCATCCAATTGCTTTATATTTATATTTGTATTTATGTAGAGGACAAGGAATTATCAGTGGAACATCACAAGTGTACTCTTACTTAAGAACGGTACATCCAGATTCCTTTAAGACTCAAAATCATTCTAACAGTGTGAGATAGTAACAGAATTTTAGCCTCTATGACTTGTCCGTAGTATCCATCTTGGAGGAGGAATAGTGTTACTATTCCCTTCTTAGACACTGAAAAGACTCATGGCAGCACCATTTTATATAGTCTGTTTGCAATTTGCCCATGAAGTTCTAAGCTAGTCTTATCATACTACTTATGTAGGCAAGACCTGGCAAAACTTGCCTTGGAAGCATGTTCAGAGCAAGGCACTGAAGTTTTCTGCCATTTTTGAGACTGATAAGGTACTGCGTCTTTCCCACTTGTAAGAAGCCATTTGATATCTTTTATTTTCTGTTACATGTTCTAGATGGAAGAGTTTCTGGAGTTGGGAGATGACATATCTGATACTACTTTGGATGATATTATTAACTCCCAAAAGCCAAATCAATGCTGTGTACTAATATACACATCCGGAACAACTGGGAAGCCAAAAGGAGCCATGCTGAGTCATGACAATGTATGTACTTTAGGCTCTTCCTTTAGCATAACAATAGCAAGGTATGAGGATATTTATTCCTGTGTTTTGAAGTGAATGGTACACACTAGAGCCTTGAAATCCTTTTGCTTTTGCAACATGGATATTGTACTACAAAGCAATATTCAAAATGCAGTCGGCTGTTTCTGGTAAAGTATAAGCACGGTAAAGAATGAAACTCCATTCAAACTAGCACTTCACAAGGTTGAACAGATTGTTATGAATATAAATTTTTTATTCACTGGTTTTCTTGTGAGGTATGCATATTTTCATAAATATAATTCACAGATTGCCATAAAGTCTCTCAGGTGATGTCACAGGTCATCTTAAAACAAACAAATCATATACATCAGCGAGCCACTATCAAAACAGCCTGATAGACTGCTTTTGCAAATTTTATTAAAATTGGGGATGGATGTGTGTTTTTTTTACTTTGGCATTATTATATTCCTAGACTTGGGTTTCTACATCTGTCACTGGAGGATAATACAACTCTAGTGCATAGTCCTGGTACTTACAATAGCCCTACCTGCATTGTTGAGCACAGAAAATTTTCCAGTGATAGAGAAGAGCAAAGTTGTTTCACTTTCCTCGGAGGTCTGCTAGCGAAGATCTGGACTGTGGTTGTTCTGGGTTTTTATATATTTAATGTTTTTTTTTAAGGTGGCTGAGCAGGAGTGGAAAGTGGTAGGGAGCCTTTCTGAACACACAGACAATCTGTGAAACGGCTGGTCTAAGTTGTGGCCTCTCCTCTTAAAATAATGCAGTAACTATTGTAGACATGCACACTGTGAGGAGCAATTCAAGCAGAACATAGTGGACTTGATAGACAAAAAGAGTGATCTGACGTTGCAAATCCTATGCACTTCCATCTCAGAGGAGTCTGGTGTCATTTCCATGTTAGCTGCCAAACTATTCCTGGCTGCTGATCACAAACAGACTATTTTTATGTTGACGAGTGGTGGAAAACATGCCTTGCCTGTAACTGTGCCGCTGCCTTATTTAGTCAAAAGATGTTTGCTACTGTCCATGTGCAAAACCAATGCTGAGTCAGTCATATATGCACCCACACAGATGTGCTATAAGTGTGCCTGCGTGCTGCAAGGCTTGAAGGATAAGGAAGATAAGCAATCAAGACAGCCACATCTCAAAGACATCCCATTCTGTCTACTGTGTAAGTCTCCCATAGCCACTTGTCCAGTGCTGCCAACTAAACTTGGAGTGGCCTGGCCTGACAGGATGTTGCTCCTTAAAAATCTTTCTTGAGAATCTCTGTTTCCTTAGACCAAATGTACATTCATACCTTCTAATTTATTACAAAGAAAAGGAGCTGGCAGGAACATACTGTGATAACAGATGTTGCATGTGATTTGTATCTCTTCCCTGCCATCTTGAATAATCTCATTTCTGCGTCCTGCCCTACCTGTTTTACATTACAGACTCCTCTGAGAAAGAGCTGGGGTTTTGGTTTTGTTTTGGTTTGTGGTCGGGTTTTTTGCTGTGCACATGTATCTTCCTATGCGTATTTAGCATTCTTCAGCTGCATCTTCTGAGATAAAGTGGAAATTAGGAAGAAGGCGGGGGGGGGGAAGCATCATACAGTTTCACTAAGAAGTCAAGCAGCACATCTTCAAAAATATTCACACATGCAGTGCTGCTCGTGGTGGGCTGTGTGTGTGAGTGTCACTTGTGAACTGCCGTGGTGAATATTCCAGAGGCTTCTAGAGGAGCAGAATACAGCTGCTGTCTTCCTCATTAGTGCTTAGCCAGGTGATGATCAATACAAGACAATGAGCTCGTTGCTGATACTTTTGACCGAGTGTCCCCCAGGGAATTGACAGTCTGGTGTGTTGCCAAAGATTGAAATGTCTTCAGCAATTTCTGTGAGCACAGATTCTTCATAGTTACATTAGCATGGCATGAGGATCCTCAGTTTGTATTAAAAGAAAAAAAGAAAAAAAACCCACCATACCTAATGTGTTTTATTATTTATTTAAACAGATAACTTGGACATCAGCACATTGCAGCAGAGCAGGAGATATGCAACCTGCAGAGGTCCAACAGGAGTCTATAGTCAGTTATCTCCCACTCAGCCATATAGCTGCGCAGATATATGACCTGTGGACTGGAATCAAATGGGGAGAGCAAGTTTACTTTGCTGAGCCAGATGCTCTGAAGGTATCTGTATTGTATTGCACCTAACTAAGCTTGCACTTCTTTCTCTTAGAAAACATCTCAAGGAGACAATATGGTCTTTGAAGAGGTGCAGAAGATGAAGATTGAGAGTCCATTATTTTAAGAATTATGGAAAAATAAAATCCATTAGACTTGTGATCCAGTGCTCTAGACTCCAATTAAAATGCATCTAAAGCAAAAGAAGTATAAGCAATTTTTGGAGGAAAGGGAGGCAGAAGGAACTAAACCACCAGTGTGTTTTCCTTCTTGTATACATACCTCCCTCTATGTGTCAGAGCTGGCACATGTTAGTGCGTGTGTCTGACTGAAGTAGGTTCAGCATTCCTTCTTTACTTTATATCCTGCGTGTTTAGTGATGTTCTACATGTTAGCATTGCGAGATGCAGACTGCATCACCAAACCTCTTTATCGCTTCTGTGGACCTTTTGCAATGTTTTGAACTGATTGAACGATTTTAACAGGGCAGCTTGATCAACACACTAAAAGAAGTGCAGCCAACATCTCACATGGGAGTTCCCCGAGTATGGGAGAAAATCATGGAGAAATTAAAGGATGCTTCTGCTCAGTCAGGATTTATGAAGAAGAAAATCCTGTCATGGGCTATGTCACTTAGCTTAGAGAGGAACCTAAACTGCTCAAGCAGGTATGTATTATAATGGGTGAGATTTCTGTCAACTTGAAAGTAACTGTTTGCTTGTAATAAACTATGAAGTATAATTGGGTAAAATTTGGCCTGGCAACACAGCAAATATAATGCAAGAGGGCGGGTGTAGTTATCAATTACAGTAGGCTGATCTTAAACACAGGTGACTGTTAAAAGTGTCCCTCCATCCTCCCTGAGAACATACTCCCACTAACAAGTCCTCCAACTCTGTGTCCTCTGTGAATTGAACAGTTAGTTTTCAGCTGGGAGAGTTCCCTGATGCAGTGCACCATGTGACTGTGCAAGTACTAGTTACTGGTGTGAGAAAAGGGCATGCATTTGGAGGACATGTATGAGAGGGTGAAGTTTTTGGGGGACAGCCCAGACAGACTGGCTCAGGACAGTTTGGGGTATGCACCATGTGAGTAAGAACATCTCATCTCCACACAGAAACTCAGGGACACCCCCCACAAATTCTCTGAGCTCTTAAGTACATTATCTCTGTTCTGAATAACATTGGTGGTTTTCTCCATAAGATTGCCCAGATAAAGAATGTTGTATAAATTAAAATATTAACTTAATTCACAATTCTTTCCTGTTCCAAAGTTCTTTAAAGCGTGACACAATGAAGTGTGAAATTGATTACAGAAAATGGTATTCCAAAAGATCGTGTAGTGATACTGCTTTCCTTGTCTGATTATCCAGCTTCTGAGATAGGTCCTGCAAATTTCAGATTTTAGTGGTATAGGTTCTCAGAGACACATTTAACTGATAAAGGATCAAAAATACAAGAGCTTTGTTTTATACAATACATTTTTATAGATTCTTTGTGTATTTTCAGTATTCAGACAGCTCGAGTTGGAGTTCACTAGCGATGAAAGACACTGAATAAATGAAAAAAGGACAAATATGTAACCTGTTCGTACTGATGTAACTTCTGCCAACACCCAAAACCAAATGGCAAATACATCTCTAAACAAAATTTGCGTCTGATTTTGTTTTGGAAATTTCATAGGTTGCCCTGACTTAGTGTCTCCTTCTCTTGTGTGTTTTGTACTCAGCAGTGATTTAAAGCAGTTGTGGACAAGGCTGGCAGACTATTTGGTGCTTGCAAAAATACGCAATGCGCTGGGTTTTTCTTCCTGTCAGAAGCACTTTTCTGGTGCTGCTCCTCTCAATACAGAAACACTGTATTTCTTCTTGGGTCTGAACATCACGCTGTATGAGGCCTATGGGATGAGTGAGACCACAGGCCCACATTGCCTATCCGGGCCCTATATATACAGGCAGCACAGGTAACGTAACTTTTTTTTTTTTTAATATGGTATGTTTCATTATATCTGTGAGAAGAGTATTTGTTAAGTTCAGCAAAGATCTTGCCACTTATTTTATTTTCTTTCAATGCATTGCCACTCTGTTGTGACTTTGGGAGGCAAAATAACTTCCAGGTCAGAAGCTGAACACACTGCCTCCATAGCATGCCACACCAAGAGCACTGAAAGTGATCTGCAGCATTATAGAACACAGTTACTAAATCTGATGTATATCCTAGCCCTGGCCCAGGGTAGGATAGATTTCAAATGGAAGACCTCAAATACAAAAGTGGTTTTAGGCCTTAAGATGCAGAGGGGAAAAAAACCAAAAACCACAGGAAGCACAGAGCAAGATAGACAGCCAAAAAGCACTTAGATAACCTGACGTATCTGCCCTAGTGAATTAATATTCCATAGCTTTCAAACAGTTACAGCAGGGTGTTATTTACAGTCACTAATATTTTGATAGGTTCAGGGATTTGGTGTGTTAGGTGTCTTAGCAGTATTATGTTTAATATTTCTGTGCTCTGTGTGTTTTTTTTCTGCTCTTCTCCAACAGCTGTGGTAAACCAGTACCTGGCTGCAGGGTGAAATTGGTGGATGAAGATACCGAAGGCAATGGAGAAATCTGTTTCTGGGGAAGGACTGTTTTCATGGGTTATTTAAATATGGAAGACAAAACAAAAGAAGCCTTTGATAAGGATGGGTGGCTGCATTCTGGAGATTTAGGAAAACTAGACAAGGATGGCTTTCTCTATGTCACTGGAAGAATTAAAGGTAATAAGCAAAATCTTGCTCCATGTTTATGGTAATGGTTCAGCACTGTTCAGTCACGTCAGATGTGGGCCCATCTAATTAAGTGTCTTTCCTTTAATGCCAGCAGCATTGACCTAATAGGAAGGTAAAATAAACTTTCCTATGAGGAAACCATGGTGTGCCCTGTTCAGGAAAGCTTTCCCTCTAGTTTGTAATGGGTAGACATGATTCAGTTCCTATAATGAGGCTTTTTATCTCCCAGACCTTTATTCAGTATTAATTACAATTAGTACTATAAAATAATAATGCAGGTTTAATGTGTCTTTTTCACTTCTAATCATCCATTAAGCTGTCCAGTCTCCCTTTGAATCTTGCTAAATTGTCTTAATTGCACATTAGGATGTTTAGACAGTGACAAAAGACAATCCTCTGTTACATAAAAGTTGTTGCTGTAGGTCAGAGCTAGGTTCCTTTGATGCCTTAGGTGACGTGATTGCAGAGACTAGTATTGAAGCTTGAGAGCAGAAGGGAAAGTTAAAGCTAAAGCAATAAACCTAGGTGTTATTACAGTACATAGCTTGAAGTCTCACATGAGTAAGATTGGTCACTTGCTTACTTGGAAGCTTTTTTTTCACGATACATATTCAGAGAGTGGGATTGGTCACAATCGAGGTGTAACTGAGGAAGATTTAAAAATTGAGGAACTATCACCTTAGAATACATGATGAATCACTAGGGAGATAAGATGGATGAGTGAATTTGTCATAGGGTGACATGGTGTCCCGTTAGGAATCAGGACTTAAGTAGATACTATCAATAGCCTGCACCAAATGCAGCTATCTTGATTTTAACTTGCTTTCTTGTCTGATTCATTTTCCTTTAGCGTAGCAGTTAGCAACTCCTAGTCTCATTCTGTCATAACACTTGTGTTTCATTTACATCTTCCTTGATTGCTGAACTAATAACAATTACTCTAAATTACAGGACAGGTACACCATCTGGGACAAAATAACTGTCTGTCCAGTTTCATTAAAATTTTAAATCCAAGTCCAAATAAGGTAAAATCTAATAGAAGGTAGTAAAGAAGCTTTTCTTCTGGTGACTGAAACAGGACTTCTTCCTTTGGTTCTGTGGGTCTTATGAGTTTTAGACCTCATTAGCTGCATAGCACAAAGATGTAGCTAGAGAAGTCCGTACAGGGGGAGTATTTGTAGAGGTGTGGAAATAGTTATTACAATTATTAGAGTTGTCTGGATCAGCTGGGAAAAAGCTGACATCTCAGACAATGAAAAACTAAGGGCCACAGAGACTGGTAGAGGTTCTAAGGCAAAAACAGGACTACGGCAAAAGGAAGGGGGAATGAAAGGTAAAAATAGACCTAGACAAGTTTGGATACACAACTAACTTTGGTATGTATCTGTGGTTTGACAGAAGTCTCTCATTCTATAAACAGCATTTGTGCTTCCTCAAATGTGTGTTGACTAGGGAGACAAGTAACTTTTATAGTTATGAGATCAATGCCTATTTCATACCAGAAGGTTGAGTGTAGATTGGAAGTTATCTCGCATCATAGTTCTTACAGAGCAGTAGAGATGGTAGGGCCCAAACCTGTGAACGCTGAAAGGGCGCTATATTCTCTTGATTGCATCTAAATTCTTCAAGTTTACCCCTGACAGAAAATCAGGTAACAAATCCGATCCTTAATACATACAGTCAGCTGCATTAATTACACAAAGGACTGGAATACCATTTGCCTGCATTATTTGTTGAAGCACGTTCTGAAATGCTGCAAAGACTATTATTTGAGGAAAGTGAGAAGTCACCAGTGTAATGAAAGCAAAGAGTTGGAATTTACTTAGAGAATACTCAAATTTGTAATAATTCTAATGAATATATGTATTATACTTCAGAATTAATGTATTCAAATAAAAACGCACATTCCTTTATCGGTAGAATAAGGTATCACTACCATTGTTTACAAACCTTAAAAATATTAAGATTCTAGTCTGTCTTTATATTCCCCTCATGTCAAAAGTAGGGCAGGAATCACTACTTCCACAGCAGACTTGTCTCTTGGGATCTTGACTTCTCCCTCCTTGCAATCCTCTCTCCCTTCTTTCCATGTTGCTTTCAGGGAGCCTTCCTGCAGTAGTAACTTGTTTTTTTGTCTGACCCCTCTTGGTGGCTTTAAGAATTAGTTTTAATTGTGATAACAATGAACTTGCTTTTTGTTGAGATAGCAACAGTAAAATAGAGAGTGAATCCTATGCTAATTTGGAAAAGATGATTGCTCACAGAAAAAGTCTAGATTATGCAACAGTGCCTTGAGAATAACTGACCTGTTTCTGGATTATGTAAAAATAATCTGGAGCAAATATGTTATACTGAGGGAGAACTGAGAACTTGAGCACATATTTGAAAAATATTAGCATTTTTATTTTGAAGATAATTAATTAATAGGCTTTGTTCTCTTTGAAAACATCATCTTTGGAAAAAAATCTCTTATTCTTTATGTCAGAATAAGAAAAGTGCATCAATCCATACGTTAGCCTGATCTTCGGGATTTATTTGAATTCAACTAATAGCCTTTCTTTTTTGCCTAGATTTGATTATTACAGCTGGAGGTGAAAACGTGCCTCCAATTCCAATTGAAGATGCTGTTAAAAAAGAACTCCCAATTGTTAGTAATGCTATGGTGATCGGAGATAAAAGGAAGTTTTTGTCAATGTTGCTGACCCTAAAGGTACACCAGTTTTAATAGTGATTTCAGGGAAATTATACACCCACACCTAACAAAACCAGAAGAATTTTGAACTGTTTGTAAAAAGACCCAAAATTAGATAGGAAGGACGTTAGTGGGAAAAAAAATACATAGCAACTACAGACCAAATCCTGATGGTCTAAACTTCTTATGATTAGATGATCTGCTAAACATCTACGTGTTTACTGCTGTTTCTCCTATATACGTATAATAAGACCTTTTTTTTTATTTAAATGCAAATTTTTAATTAAGAAATGTTGAAAGAATGAGAAGTCTCTGTAACGGAGCACAAGAATAGCTTTTATTCTTACAGACAAGCAAAGACAACAAATGTTTCTGTTATGGGCAAAACCAGTTTCTAACAGAAACTTTCCAACAGAAACATTTCTCTGCCATTTGTTTTGTTCATATAACACATAGAAGGGTGACTGTAGAACAAAATAATTAATAGCTTTGCTGTGGTATAAGCTTCAATTGAGAAATCACTTTTTTCTAAAACATTTGCACTTCATATTCTGTGTACATACATAGTCAAAGACCGTTGAGTTTTTCTCAAGTTGTTTACTTCTACGACTGATACTCCCTATCTACAGGTATAATAGAAATACTAATTTAAGAAGTCTAACTTCGAAGAATGCTTCTATCTCAAGCTGTTTACATTACACCACAGTAATTCAATTTAATGATGAGCTAAACGTTCCCCTGTAACAATGGAGTAATTTGGAAAAGATGGTAGAAATTCAAGGTCTATAGATGGACTTTATTGCTTGATTCATTGACACATTTTAAGTCTGTTCATGTCATGTGCATATAAGCCAAAAATATTTGCATATGGTAGCCAAATGGAAAGAAAAGCACTATCATCTGTAGGTGTTTCTGCTTTTTAAGGCTGACAGGATGTTTGGGTGTTGATGCTGAGCCTTCTTGATTCTTACTAGTTGGGGAGGACCTGATCAGAGGAACATTTAATGCCTTGTAAGAGAGAGCATTTGATGATTCCCTTCATTTGATATTGTAGAGCGTGCTGGACCCAGATACGTCTGATCCCACTGACATTCTCACTGAGCAAGCTAGAGACTTCTGCCAGAAGACTGGTAGTAAAGCCACTAAAGTATCAGAGATTGTAGCTACAAGAGACCAGGCGATCTACCAGGCCATTCAGGACGGAATCAACAAAGTCAACATGAATGCTACTAACAGGGTTCATTGTATTCAAAAATGGATAGTCCTGCCAAGAGATTTTTCCATTTCGGGGGGAGAACTAGGTAAGATTTACTGATTTATATTGAGGTATACACACAATAAAGAGGCTGCTGATCTAAGAGTATTCAAATACAGTTTTGTATGCCAAATTCTGGGTACAGCCACTAGAAGGAAAGGAAAAAAACATTATGCAGTGTGTGTGTTAAAGAAAAAAAAAATTGGAGATTTTGCTATGTACATATGCATCAATCTGTGCTCATTTACATGTACAGCTCTATAGTTAAATTTCAGATGGCTTTGGGCAATTAAAAAATCAATTCTGGTTAATTCCAGTATGAATAACTTCCAGTAACAATACTGAAAATTTCTCATTTTAAAAAGAGAAGCAAGACAGTGAAAGCCCGACAACAGAGCTCCAAGCACATTACCAGACTCTCTGAATAAACTGGGAATTGTTTAAAAGCTTTCAAAAACATCATCCTTTTAATTATTTTTAATGAAAGAAGTAGTAGAAGTCAGTCATCACCCTCTTATCTGCAGCTCCCTTTGAAGTCCTCGTGCTTATGTGGAGGCAACCTTACATACCACGCTTGCTTCTCACTTTCAGCAGGTACCTACACTTACAGAGTGGGAGATGTTCTTCCAAACAGGCTCTTCAATAGAAAATCTTAGGAACCAAAGCTCAACCTGAGTAGGAATTTTTGTTCCTATTTCTGTTATTGTGACTAAATCCTTCTTTTAAGGTCCGACAATGAAGTTAAAACGGCTCGCCGTGCTTGAGAAATACAGAAATGAAGTAGACTCCTTCTATGAAGAATAAGCAGCCTTTCATCCAAGCATTAAGGAAGATCTGTGAGCTAAAGAAACTATTTCCTAATCAAAAGCATTAATGAAGATGCTTTTGTTTTGGTTTTGTAGTCTACTGAACTGAACCACTAGAACACTGCTGTGTCAATTTAGTTGTTCCTGATACTCACCTGATAGTTTGTCCTCTTTTTACAGAAGCATCTACAGAGTGTCTGTTTTCTAATACTGTTTTTACTTTATGCCCTAAATGATTAAGATTAAAAACATCCTCTTGTGTTGTATAAAGCAGGTATAACTAATTATTCCACTAGACTGAAACAGAAGGAAAATTTTTTTATGCAGTGATCTTCCCTTACAATATTTTTCCTGTTGTTCTACAGGAGGTTGCCTGTAGCTCATGATACATTTTGGTAGATCAGTAGTAGTTAGCAGTACTGCTTACTACTTTTAGACAGAAAGTTGTCTAAAGGGTGTGCTGTTAGTAATTGATCTTTGGCAGAGAGTTGTAATAGCTAACACAAGCAGGCAGGCTACAGCCACTGTTGTTGATCAAAAACGTCATGCAGAATAGGATATTGTTTCCATGAGAGTTCCATTACCAGCCTTACACATCTTATAGACTTAAGATTTGTTGCAAGTACCAACAACCAGTTCAACACATAAGACAGCAGCCTAGGATTATAAAAACAAAACAAGCAATAGGACTTTGAAAAGTTTATTTTTCCCCATTTTGTGCGTAATGGTAATTCAGAAGTTCTTTAACAATATTAATCTGAAGGAAACAAAGAAGCAGCAGCTTGTAAAACACAGAAAAATGTTGCCCTATTCACCAAAAGCAGAGTGCACGAGGGATAAAGCTCATTGTCCCTCCTCCAGCATGTTGTTAGACTGTACAAAAAAAGCTGGGATGCTTACTTTATAGAGTGATACTAGAAGTCACTCAAAATTGATTTTACTTCTGAAACAACCAGCCTAAACAGTCTTAACAGAAAGTAACTAAGTGGAGTAGTATCTATTAATAGAATTAAGCTTTAAGAAGCCTGGTTCTGGCAGTAGGGATAATCCTGCGCTATAGTCATGAGTTTTAAAATACACATTTTCTTGTAGGGTCTACTACTGGAAGCATACCTTAAGACACACAGATCAGAATGACTCATATGACAACCTGTACAATGAAGAAGGGAGGGAAGAGAGTTGCTTTTCTGCCCATTAAGCTTAGTAAGCAGGGGAAAAAAATAGTCTCAGATCCCCTTGAATAGGGATGAAATGTATTTCTGGAACATAGGCACCAGAGCCAAACCTTCAATTTGTCCATTTAGGACTAGTCCCTTACGTTCAGAGTTTCTAGAATAAAATTACTAGTCAATACAGTAAGACACATTGAACAGACTATGCATAAAAGTACAACACAAAAAGCATTCTAGCAGAAGTCACGAAATACTTAGTATAAATTTTGCTAAGTTAATACTTTCCCCTCACAATATATGGCAGAAGTAATTCTGTATAATTTACTCTCATTAGAACTCTGTTGTAAAGTGTGTTTCAGAGAGGAAAATTTGTAAGAATTATTTTGATACATAGATTTGAAAAATAATTTTACTTCAACATTAATTCTCACCCCTTGCTGGTTAATGGTTGTGGGGTTTTTAAAATACATAAATAGATTAAATGTCTAGAATTTTTAATTTCTTTATTCATGCCCTTGGAGGGCAAGGCTATATGTCATGAATCACCAGAGTATCTAAAGTGGCTTTTTCATTGCTTTTAACATGAAATTGCTATTTTAAGCTATTTTATACCCGTTTCTGTTCATGAAGGTCATCTTGTGCTATTGTTAGGCTGAAAACCTATCTTTTAAATTTCAGTAAGATCAATAAAGTAGGTTTTAACCATTAAGGTGCTTTTACATTTCACTAATTCTGTTACTGGTTTATTTGCATAATTTCTTTCTGGAAAGTAAAAACCTCTAGTTGAAATGGAAAATGGTAGACAGTTACAGTGGCGATAAAAGAATTCACTTACATAAAAATGTTCACCAAATAGAAAAAAAATAAATAAGACAAAGCACTTAGAGTCCACTGAAAGCAGTCACAAGCATCATTTGTAGCCATTTGGACTAAATTTATTAATGGAGAGGCCCTAACTAAAAAGTTTGCTCTCTTAAGAGACAAGCAACCTATATGGGTATCAGGTTACATATAATGTACTTTGTATGATGTGTCCTTTTGGAGTTATTACAAGAAGTATGAGAAAAGTTTAGTCTGTGTCCCGTACTCTGCGGCAGATCTCTTCTGTGAATTCCGAACACTTGGCACTACCTCCCAAGTCTTTTGTCAAGACCTGAAAGAAGGAAAAAATAGTATTACTAAAATGTTTTATGGGGCTAGTCTTCTCTCTGAACAGTTCTATATGTTGTTCTTCTACGTTGTGTATGGATACTAAGTAGGGGTAAGAAGGAATACATCAAGTTTGAGTTTTTCTGCATCCCATATAGCCTTCATCAATAAGGACTATGCAGACTGAAGCAGGTAGAGAAAACTTGAGTATGAACATCAAGCATTATTCAACATGGTTTTATCTTAACTACAGGAAGAAAGGGCGTTTGGCCAAAGCTCTCCAAAGTCCCCTGGCCACGTAACAGTGTAATTAATTGTTTAGTATTTAAGTTTTCAATAAAAGTTTGTTCTTTGGAAGTAAAATTCATATATGAAGGCTCAACGCAAAGGCAACTAATTGAGTCATTCAGTAAGGTTTGGTTTGGGGTTTGGTTGGTTTTTTTTAAAGGAAACCCACACAGAAAAAGCACACGTAGCTCTTAATGCTGCATGTTAACAGTTCTTTAAGTTTGCTTAGTTTAGTTAAGAGATGGAAAAACGCAGAGTTAAAAGAAACTTTTTCACCAAGTACAACTCCTGTCTGGCAGCATGAAGATAGTAAAATCAAATAAAAATTGGACAACACTGCTTATCCATCCTAGCTCGATTAAAGCAGTCTAGGAGATAATTTAAAATCATTAGTTTTCCCCTTACATGACACACACAGAGATCTTAATTAAATGGCTGTGGGGGAAGGGAGAAACAGCAAGCATGAGAGGCAATAAAGGTTACTATTTTAGGATCTTGTCATTTTAACTGCATTATGCTTTTTTCAATTTAAAAAGATTCTCTCCATTGTGAGCATATAATCATAACATTGTAAGTAACTAGTAAACAAATAGCCATGTCACAAAACTTGCATTATGTTATCTTCTGTAGAATTACTGACCTGCAGATGGAGGATTTCATTTCCAGAGCAGTAAATGGGACCTTTACAGGAGCACCTCTTTATTCACTTGTAAGTTTAGATTTTTTTTTTTTAACTGGCTCCTACACACAGTAAGATAGCTGCAAACAGACCACTTATGAAATGATGACAGCTTTTTGTTTAAGCATGCTTGTTACTTTTAATTACAAAGCAGCTGCTTATGCTCCTGCCCAAGATAATTGAACCAGCCTGGCTAACTGCTAATCCTCTTTAACTGCAATCTTCAGGATCCTTCCTGCTATGTTTTGAAAAGGTGGATGCCAAAGTAGATGAGTGAACCAATAAAGTTAAGAGCACAAATTCAAGTCAGGTTTCAGAGCATAAGTGCCCCCAGAATATTCCATTTGAGTCTTGAATCTGGAGATGCTTATTGCCAAAGGGAAATCACATAAAATTTTAAGGGGAAAGGTAAATGCTGGATAAAAACTGTTCTTTTGTAGTCCAAAAAAGAGTGAAAGCAGTTAGGAGGAAAAAAATAAAATAATTGACCTGAAAAAATAGGAGCAGAAATGTACAGTCAGGACTGAAATGCTATAAACAAAGTGGATGATTAAGCCTGTGAAAGGCAAATGAGTGTCCTTCACTTCAGGATCCAGATTTAAATATATATACTTTGTATGCATTATAAACTTTGCAAGTGAAATACCAGTAGTTATTTAAAACTCTCACCCCCTTCATGAAAAACACGACATCCAGTTCTAGCTTTTAGAGTTAACAAAGCTGTGGAAATGTAGAATGAGCATTACTGAGACACAAGGAATGCTACAGCCTGTCCTTATTACTGAGCTAGGCAGATTTAATACCACCAAAGATAATATAATTACTATCAGAGAAGGATAGTGGCACTGCTCATGCGTCAGGCCAGCACAGCAGGTCATCCGCTGTTGTGGTGTTAATGTTCTGATGCTTTGCATTTATTTGCACACCCTCATATTACCTTTCCATCTTTAATTGTATCAAAGCAAGCTGTCTCAATTTTTGTGGCATGTTTGTGTAGTCCCATGTGACGCAACATCATTACAGCACTCAGAAGAAGGGCAGTTGGATTTGCCAAGTCTTTTCCTGCAATGTCTGGTGCCGTTCCATGAACCTATAAATAAAAGTGAACCTATCTGTTACAATGCCAATATGGTGATTAAAATGTCCTAGGCAATTCAAGTGCATGCAAGGAACCTGAAACATGTACAAGCATGTTAAAATAGGACTTCACTGTGATACAGTTAGTGGAAAGGAGATAAAGACCAGAACAATTCAGTTCAAAGGCATCAGAAAGAGGGAACTGGGTCACCTAATATCTCCCAATTGTGCCCCTCAAGTTCTATTTCACAGAGAGTATTTATCTTATGAAAAAGGGGGAAAACAAAGTGTCAGTAAAAGGACATGCAAAAAACTATGTGTAATACATACTTTAACTACTCTCTCTGGGTAAAGTTTCAGCATCTTCATCGTGAAAAATAGTTTTACAGAGAACTTAGTTAAATGACAGCCACACTGTATGTCATGGAGAAGTTTTAGATTCTGAAGTTGAGACAAAGTAGTAGTTATTACTATACCTTGCATAAGAAAACTTACCGATTCAAAAATAGCAACTCCATTAGCACCAATATTTCCACTTGGTGTTACTCCAAGACCGCCAATCAGTCCAGCACACAAGTCACTGGAAAAACAAAACAAAAAATAAAACCAGAAAACCCCACAAGTTTTTCCATATACAGTTCCTCCTCTGCAAGGTATTAAAATATTTTTGTTTCTCATTTTATTGCAACAATAACTTATTTTATATACCCACACCATCTGAGAATAATATTGGGAAAGAACAGATACTGCTAACCACTTGTACTCCATTGGAACATTTGAAAATTTGTAGACCTACTAGCAGGAGGCAATTTAATACAGGAAAATTAAAAGGAAATTCCAAATACTAGAATAAAGCTGATTAAGACATAGGTACAACAAAGGTACTCAAA